AGGGAGCCCGATGTGGGACTCGATCCCAGGACTCCAGGATCACGACCTGAGCCGAAGGCAGTCGCTTAACCAACTGAGCCACCCAGGCGCCCCTGAAACACATTTTAAAAGGGCTTTTGAGCTTCTGGGGCTGGTACATTGTGGGAAGGTAAATGTAATGACGGATGTTCAGGAAGTTTTGTTATAGCACTTCCTCTCGGTGCCATCTTGGGACTGATGAGTCTACAGTCCTCTCCCATGATTCCGTCCTCCTGCCTTTCCAGATACAAGAGAGGGAAGGGGGATCCCTTCACAATGGGAAGTCTGTGCCCTGCTTTTAGACAAATGGGGAGGGTTGAGAGCTTTTTCTGTGGTCTGTTTCAGTTGCATTCAGCTCAAAACAATCCTTATGCCAAAGTGGCATATTTTGGGGTGACATATTCTATGAATGTTCAATTTCGTATAAGTTATCGACAGTCTCTCTCCTGCTAGGCTGGAAGCACTCTGAGGGTGAGGACTGTGTCCATCTTGCCCACCACTGTATTTCCAGAACCTGGCACAGCACCTGGTCCACTTACTTGACTACAAATTCATGGACGACTGATTTTGAGCTGCTCTGGGCCTCAGTTTCCTTGTCTGTGAAGCAAAGATGATAATCTCGTCTTACCAACACTAAATCTCTTCCTACACTGACACAGAGGTTCCCAGGGTGGGCATGAGAAGGAGACAGTATAATCTCTTATTTTGGAAAAAGTAATGTTAAGTGTAAAAATTTTTTTTTCGTCATTTAAACGGTAGCTCTTCCTTATTTGAATGTTCCCAGGGAAATATGGCAAGCTCTGATGGAAAGCAGATCAAGACGCATCGCAGCAAACTACCCGTGAGAGTTTTCTCATTTTGTCCCCTCCTGTGACACATTTTGCTAAGAGTTTGAAATGTGTGGATGCACCCACTCTTACTCCTTCTGCTAAGGAAATTGCACCAAGGTGGGGATGGCTGGAGGGGCAGCAAGTGTTGATTTCCCAAGTTCTACATTCACAAAGGCAGGAAGGATAAGAAATCAGAAGCCCATCTTTGCTTAGCTGCAAAATTGAGTTTTTTAAAAAGGTGGCCCTGCGCTCTCTCCCCTGTGGTTTTGGCAGAAGAATGATAGCAGCAAATCTATGGCTTAGTGGGAAAAAGTCCTTCAGGTTGGAATTGGGTATCTCGGATCCTATCCAGGACACATACTGCCTTGTCCTTGGGCAGGCTGCACTTCTCTGGGGCTCCTTTGATCTTAACGTCTGTAAGGCCCCTCTGGGCTCTTAACGTTTTTTTGTTTGTTTTGTTTTTAAGATTTTATTTAGTTTAGAAATAGAGAGCAAGAAAGAGCATGAGCGGGGAGCAGAGGAAGAAGGGGCTCCCCGTTGAACAGGGAACCCCATGTGGGGCTCGATCCTAGAACCCCGGGATCATGACCCTAGCCCAAGGCAGACGCCCAACCAACCGAGCCACCCAGGTGCCCCTGGGCTGTAATGTTTTTAGGAAGGTAATATCAGTACTGATTTGGATTAGCCAAATCCAGGTGCTGCTCCCTCAAGCCATCTCTTCCCATTCCCAGGTGATGCTGTCATCCTCCAAACCAAGTCAGCAGGCTAGCACCTGGATCCACTCCCCCAGGGTGGGTGAGGCTGCTTGGCTCATTAAGAGTCCCTGGCCTGAGATCCCAAGTGCCCAAGGACGCAGCTAGGAGATGCCGGCAATGCAGGGGAAGAGTGGAGCCCTGGGGAGGGGCTGCAAGGAGAAGGGGGAGTTTCGCTCCCGGTGCAGCAGTTCTAAGGATTCAGTAGAAAACTGGTGAGTCCATCAGGCGCAGTCTTCCAGGTGTGAGTTTAGCTAGGCCAGGCAAAACTCAGCTTAGTTCCTTAAAGCCGGAGCTTTCAAGAAGCCCAGACATGCATCCAGGACCTACAAGTGGTATCCTGGGGCTTAGTGGGGGGGCAGGTTGGCGGCTGGGAAGGGGACTCTGCACACAAGTTGCTTACAATGTAATAGCACACCTTTTCTCTGAAGCCTTGTGATGGGCGGTGTATGCCGGGATATGGGAGAAAGTACAGCAGAGGTGAAACACAACCTCTAAGAGTGCCCCAGAGGCCCAGGGGGAGTAGATTGTATATAATTACTGAATTATTCTTTGGCTGGGGAGAATTCAGGGAAGGCCTCCAGGAGGAGGAGTAGAACTCTCGAGGTAGAGCTGGAGGAACTGGGAGAAAGGCATTCCAGAGCCAGCAGAGCGGAGGTGCATGGGGCAGAGAGGTGCCTCGGGCGTCCCAGGAGCCACAACTCCTCTTGGCTAGCCGAAGGCCCAAGTGAGGGGAAGAGACAATTGGAAAGGTAGGTCACTGCTGAATCTGAGCCTAGAATGCCATGTTCATGATTTGGGATTTAGCCTGGACACCAAAGTAAAAAACTGGCTGATTACGTTTAGCCTGCAGATGGCTTTTGTTTGGCCTGTATAGTGTGTGTGTTTAATTTGAGCCAACTTTTAAAAATAAGGACCTACATTTCACATACTACCCAGATTTCCAGCTTCTCCTTAAACATAGGAGGATGTGGCCTCATGGAGACAATCTGCAGGAATGGAGTAGCTGAGTCCCTTTTCGACAAGAGCCCCGTAGGGTGCAGCTCACGTGTCTGCATACCTGCCCCACCTGGCTTGGCTCATCTGTGGCACCCTCCAGACCCAGGCCATAGAAGGTTGCAACTTGGGGTTCACAGCAGGGGTGGGTCTCAGTAAGGCTAATGGGGGAGGGGCGGAAGGGGCAGGAGTGGAGGCAGTGTGCCCGCTGAAGACAGTTGCAGAGGTTCCAGCAAGAGCCTCGGGGGTGGCAGGGCATGAAAAAAGAGAGCTGGCATTCTGTGCCGAAGGAATAGGTGCTGCCTGGTTGTGTGATGTGGGGGCCGGTAAGGTCTCGGTCCCAAATTCACTCCCAACAAGTGTGAAGCCCACGCTCGAACCGTAATAATAATTTACACCAGATCATTTCACCTTCCTTATCTCATTTGATCCGCCACACCCCTGTGAGCACGGTATGGTTACTGTCACCCCCGTTCCGTGGGTGAAGAGGTTGAGGCTCAGAGGTGGTGGGTTATTTGCTTAAAGCCCCTCAGCCAGTAAACAGAAGAACCTGAGCATACCTTTACCTTATTCGGGCTTCCAACCCAAATCCACCTCCGTTGGTCGGGTGCATGCCTCCTTATGTCGCACAAGGTACTCCTCTCGGGTTTTATCTTTTTAAAAAAATTAGGAATGCTTCACGAATTTGAGTGTCATCCTTGTGCAGGGGCCATGCTATTCTTCTCTGTATCATTCCAGTTTGAGAATATGTGCTGCCAGAGTGAGTGCATCTCTCTGTGCTTTTTATTTTTTTTTAACTTAATATTAGAGAGAGAGAGAGCACGAGCGGGGTGAGGGGCAGAGGGAGAAGCAGACTCCCTGCCGAGCAGGGAGCCCGATGCGGGACTCGATCCCGGGACCCCAGGATCATGACCTGAGCCGAAGGCAGTCGCTTAGCCTACGGAGCCACCCAGGCGTCCCTCGCTGTGCTTTTTAAAAGTGCACATCTAGGTAGGAGAAAGCACTCCCATTGCCAGCAGAGCCTGCCGGGCTCCTGACAGAGGAGGCACCGTAGCCTCGGGGGCCAGGCACAGGCTCGGAGCCAGCCTGCCCGGCCGTGAATCCCATTGCTCCCACTCACTGGCAAGTCACGAAATACTGCCGCCTCAGTGTCCTTGCCGGTAAGAAGTGGTGGCAGCACGTACTTCGCAGGGTTGTTGTGAGGATTCAGTGAGCCATTGTGCGCTCTCTCCCGGTTATCCACATTTTTCAGAAGCCCGTGCCCAGCCCTGGGCGTCTTGTGCTGAGCAGAAACAGCAGGGGCATCAGGCCACTTGCGTGAATGTGCCCCCTCTCTGCACGGTGTTTGCCAACAGGAGGCTATATGGGTTGGTGCAGAGCCCTCTGGGCCATGATGGGTGGTGGAGAGAGAGAGAGAGAAAGATGGGACTTGCCCTAGCTTTACGCCCTCCTCCTAGGGAGTCAGGCCCGGAGGCTTATGTTTCTGGGACAGCCAGAGGAAAGGGACTGGAGGAGGCTGATGGAAGCGACAACACTCAGCTCTAGGCGCCTGAAGCCTCGAGGTAGACTCCATGCTGCCTGGTAATCATGGGTGCTAAACGGCTGGTATTGCGCCGAGGGTGATAACCGCCTAGTGACGCTACCTTCTGAAACCCCTGAGCTCACGACCTGCACCCCTCAGAATGGGGACACCGAGCTGGAGTGCTGTCGCTAGAGGCCAGGCAGGTGGCCCAGCTGTGGTGGGCGGAACGAGGGCCCTGATACCTAGGACCTGTGACAAAACGTTACATGGCCAATCAGCTGTGCTGATGTGATTAAAGGAAGGACTTCAAGATGGGGAGACTAGCCTGGATTATCCAGATGGGCCCAATCTAATCACGGTGCTCCTTAAAAGCAGAGAAACTTGGCTAGCTGTGGCTCGAGAGAGGGAGGCATGGCTAGGGAATATGCTTGCCACCGGCTTTGAAAAAGGAGGAAGGGGGCCGTGAACCAAGAAGTGTGGGCAGGCCCTAGAAACTGGGAAGAGCAAGGGAATGGATTCTCCCCTAGAACTTCCAAAAAGGAATACCACCCTCCAGACACCCTGATTTTAGCTCAGAGAGACCCACATCCCATTTCTATCCTCCAGAGATGCAGGAAACTCGCCTAGAACCAAGGAAGACAGGAAGGGGCACACAGAGAGGTTTCAGAGAGTCTAAGTGTTTGGGCCAGATCAATGGTGAAAGAACTGTAACTGGAGTCAAAGGTCAAACCTAAGGTAATACATTTAAGGAAATGTGAGCCAAGTTTTAGCTAGGCCTTGATGTGGAGTGAGTTTGGCCCCCCAACCCCCTGAAAGAGACTGTCTGTCCCTAAAGCCATCTCTCAACTACTGCTCAAGACTTCTGGTTAGTTCGTTCTCCTTCAGGATAACTCCGTTTTTCTCAACAAGGCAAGGACAGGGGTAATTTTTCCCTAAGGATAGCAATGTCTGAAGAAATTTTTGGCTGTCACAACTGGGAGGGAGGATTGTTCCTAGCACCTAGTGAGTAGAACCCCCAGGTATTGCTAAACATCCTACAGTGGGCAGGAACATACCCCCCCCCCCACACACACAACTAAGAATGATTCGGCCATAAATGTCAACAGTAGGAAGCCTGAAAACCCTAGAGGTAGACAAACTGGGAGGAATGGGTTCAAGTCCACATAGCTATTGAGTGAGAAACAACCCTGCTTCTCTGTCTCACTGAAATGCAGCCACCCCTCAACCAGTCCCCTGAGTGCTGCAAGTCTGGTTGGTTCCTCGGCCCACACATAGGACCAACCCCAACTCAGGCATTTATGACAGGCAGTAACTGGGATGACTAAATGAAGGTAGTTTCTTTTTTTTCTTTTTCAAAGAGTTTGTTTATTTGGAGAGCAAGAGAGTGAGAGCTTGAGCAGGGGGAGGGGCAGAGGGAGAGGGAAAAGAAGATTCCCCATTTAGCAGAGAGCCCGATGTGGGGCTCGATCCCAGGACCCTGGGATCATGACCTGAGCTGAAGGCAGGCGATGGACCCCCTGAGCCACCAAGACTCCCCACGAAGGTAGTTTCAATTCAATTTCCTCCTCCCAACGGCACAGGGGTAGTTGCTCCGTAAAATATCCCCTCATCTCCTGGTCAGTATATCTACTGTTTCTTGGAGGTGCCTGTCCCATTCCAGCAATTTATCCCCTTGACCATGTCTTTCCAGGACTGAGCAGAGAATTCAGGGACTATTTCAGTGATCAGGAGATAGAGCTAATCTCAGGATAGCCTCTGATTTACCCTGAGCTCTTCTCCCTCTCTATTTCCCCATCATCCCCGCCCATCAAGGTAAACCAGGGGGTCACTGCCTACCTTGGTCAGGCAGAGGGGTAGAACCCATGGTTAAGGTGTAAAGGCCCTGGCCGCGGAAGCTGCAATAAGTAGGCTTTGAAATAATTGTTTCATTTCTTCTTTTTTTTTTTTTTTAAAGGTTTTATTTATTTATTTGACAGAGAGAGACACAGTGAGAGAGGGAACACAAGCAGGGGGAGCGGGAGAGAGAGAAGCAGGCTTCTCACGGAGCAGGGAGCCCGATGCGGGGCTCGATCCCAGGACCCTGGGATCATGACCTGAGCCGAAGGCAGACACTTAATGACTGAGCCAACCAGGCGCCCCAATTGTTTCATTTCTAGCTTGCAGGAAACTTGACACAATTTACCTGGTATAAACAGAGGTCTCCCCACTGTACAAATGAGGAAACAAGGCTTTGAAAGACGATGTTTGTCGAACGTGAGGGACTGTGGTTCTAGGTGGTGAAGCCCCTAGCTACCACCAAATTTTTCCCCAGGCCAACAGTTAGTCTTACCACATCTACAGTCAAAATGCATTAAATGCACACTTTGCTCACACTTTCCATCACCCCATTTCTCACCGTTGTGATAACCACTGTTAGTGCCCCTCACTTTCCCCATGCCAAACCCTGCCAGGTGAAAAACTGGCAAGGAGACAGAACATCTTCCCAACATACTGGGGTCCCACAGCACAAGGGTAACGGGGTACGCATTGGTGAATGGTGGACGAGGCTGGCACATGTAAACAGTGGTTCTCTCAGGGGGCAGGTTAATTTCTTCTTAATGCCTCTCTGTGTTTTCCAAAATGGGTATATTCATTCTATAATCAGAAAAAAAAAAGTTCTGAAACCTACATTTCCTAAGAAATAATACCGGAAAGATG